AGCACAACACATGAATATCATGCACAAAACCACGGATGATGACTTCTAAACTAGTTTCCACTCTTAACTCAAGAGAAGGTTTCCTATGTCTCAGCCCAAACGGATCCTTTCGCATACTGAGACGATGTTTACTTCAACACTCAACAGATAGCCACAACGCGACCATCCATTCTAAGCGTGCAGCGTTCTACATGCTTCTCTTCACAAGCCGTAAAGGCCAACCCAGGCAAGCAGAGTTGTTTCACATCAATCATAACAAGATCCCTACTAATGAACTGAAGTATTAAAAATATTTCTAAAAAAAATTGGAGAATTGTTCACTAAAAAATAATTGAGTTTTGAGATCCAGTAATGATTAGGGTAAGTAGTAAGAAAATGTAACACAATCCCTTGACTTACCCCTCAGAAAGTTTGCCTCTGCAGTAGTAGTCTAGGGAGAGTAAACTTTAAAAATAGCATATTTCCATATTTTCCTACTTACTTTTTTATTTGGTTTGTAGGGCAATTTCCCCAGTGTCCAAAAATTGACTTACCTCTGTGAATCCTGCAATCTGTCTCTTTAACAGTGTGTTTTCCTCAACACTCTCATTGAGTGACCTGGTCATTTTTGTCAAGCGCTCAGTTACTTCCGCATTATTCTAGAAATGACAAAAATAGAGGGCTAATATACATGCAGGCATAATACACATGGAACTGACAGCCTTCATTAATTCCAAATTCGCCATAGCCTTCACAGCAACTGCTGCATCCGCGGCAGATTTTGAGAGAGCACTTTTGAGAGTGTCGTTCTCAAGACGCATCTAAATTTGCAAATGAGCTGCGTTCTCATAATTGTTTTAAAGAAAATTAAAAAGCGTTTTACTTCGTTCAGTTGAGAAATTTGTTGCTTAAATGTTGCCTCAGCTATTGTATGAGCTTGAACCTTTGATGTTAATTCCGATATGACGCGTCTAAACAGGATAAATATAGAAGACCTCAATGCAATGATCCAAAGAGTTTTGCAATAGGAAAAAAATCATAAGAAGCTAACACATGATCAGCATTTTGTCTGTCAGCGACTGCCCAAGACTGTTGAAGTTGGTCGATCTTCCTCTTATAGTCTGTTTCTCTTTTCTCAAGTTCTTGAAGTGCATACTCAAGATTATTTATCTAAAGAATATTTGTGATAAAACGTTTATCAGATTGCAGATAGAAGACTATCCGCCATGAAGCCCCTTCAGGCAGACAATTTGCCAAGCATAAAACATCAATTCTCCTGAGAAGAGAGTTTTGATGTGTCTGTTAGCCTAATTGAAGTTCATCAGCTGATCGATCATTGGAAACTTTCACTTTTCACAATTCACAATTCCGAAAGGATAAACAGCCTGCGAGGCAGGTGCATTGATAAACTGAAGGCCAAGGACTACTCTCAGGTTACTATTCGTGATCAAAACGACAAACCTTAGCATTTGTATCGTGGAAGTACGTAGCAAGGTAGCTGATGTACTCAGGTTCAATTTCTTCAAGCGATGCGATACGTGTTAGTACTTTATTCGAATCAAGATCGTTGATGTTTACTATAGTAACTAAATATAAGAAAGCACGAGTTTAATTGTCAGTCGGAAAAAAAAGCTACTCAAATACGTTCGTGCGAGAAATGAAATGCTATAGGACTTACTCTTCTTCTTCTGTTTCCTTTCTTTTTCTTTAGTTGAGGTTGTATTCACTGTTGTTACAGTACCATCACCTTGTATTTCCTGAACGTTAATTATTATCCAAGCGAAAATACAAACTAGCGCAGAACTTCAAGAGTTCAATAACTTTTTTGGGCTTGTGCGCTTTTATACTTCATAATATTCGACCAAAGCTCGCGAAGTAATTGAGTTGCGGCAATGCTAGATCGCCAAAATACAGTCCAATTTCTACTCATGCTATGCCTTTTTTCTTCAGGTTCAACTTTGTTTCCTTTTTTCCAGCAAAAATAGCAGTAAGGCGGCGGCAGAGGTATAAGTACATCAATGGAGTGCATGGCTGCAGAGGAATGAGGATGCAGCAATTTCAAATCTCAAAGTGGTAAGTGCATACGACCTGTAAATTTAACTTAAGCCTTTTTTGCAGCTTTTTTGAACTTCAAGTAACTTTTCAACTTTAATAGAATTAAAATTCTCTAAGGAAGAGATGTGAGAAAATGAGTTGATTATGCTGATGCTAACGAAGTTAGTATAAAAAAAAGTTGCAATCAAGGCACTGAGTCGACATGCAGTCCATGAAAACCTAATCATTGGATAGAAAAAGCATGGCTTTAGTATTCACCCATTCTAGCCACACAGCTTGCTAGATCGCTTGTAAAACCGTTGCAGCTTACTTCAAACACTAAAAATTGCTTAACAAAGAGAAGAAAAAAAAA